TAAACTGTATTTGGGTTTCAGAAGGACAATTTATGTAATTTATTGTATTCGTTCATCGGATTTAAGTAAAAAAAATGAATTCATTTTACGATTTCTTTTTTCAATTAAGCGTCATTAATTATCAAGAAGAAACCTTTCCGATGATAATTTGTTTGTATATCCTGCTGTATCAGAAGTAAATGATTCATTTGTTTCTCTTTGCTTTTCCAGGGAAATTAAAATGTGTAAAATCCCTGATAATTGCGTATAATTAAGAATTGTTTATATTATTGGCCTGCTGTATACGTATACATGACAAACTTCTTGCGTTGTATAACTTGGAGCTTCTAAGAACTATACTCTGAATCTAGTAATTTATTCCGCCAGAGTTTGTAATACTTTTATCAACTGGCACAATCTCTGCGGTTTAGATTAGAGAAAAATTCTGCCCATGGTTATGAAGATGCTCCTACCAACAGATTTACAAAAATAGGAAATTTAACCTTAAAACAAAAAGTGAACTAATTTTTTTAATTACTGTATTAAAAAACATGTTACGGAATTTAGTTATCAAACTGGTTTTTCAAACAATGACCACAAAATAAAGTTTATGCGTATAAACTTGTTATTATATTCATTCACATTCTATATTACTTTACTTTTTTCATTGTTATACATGTCGGAACAAATGCTGCCTGCAAAAAAGATGTAGAACTTTATTTTGTGACCTCGTTCACAGAAATTGCGATATTGTAATTATAAAAGAAACAGGAAGAAGTTGCCAGTATATGTACATTATTATCACCTCATTTTGTTAGCAAACAGGAAGAAGTAGAATACGATTATATGTATATATTAATTCCTAGTTCCGATCTATCAATCATAGCTAAAATGATATTTTGTGATATTTAATAAACGTAGGTATAAGATTTTCTAATTATATTTTAGTTTAATTAATTATTTGTTTTAATGTTGATATTTCTGGTATTGTTATTATTGGCTTCGTTTAAAGCAATATCGAGGTGTGCAAACACATGATTGAATGATATTGATAAGGAACTTAACAGGTAAACAAAACCCAAGCATATTATTCTCACCGTTTCTAGAGAAAGTTTAGATCGAGGTAGAAACTATAGTAATTAGCGTGGTAGGTTAACGTAAAAAGTATAAGCAGTTTATATTGGTGAAAATATTGACTATTTGCGTTTAATTTCTAGAACGATTTCAGTTGTATTACATAACATATAAACAGTACGTTTCTAGATAAAAAAAAGAAAACAAACAACAAACTAAAATATGTTTGCAATACACTAACACCTAAAAATAGGATGAATTATTTTTTTGTTATTTACGTTAAACAGTAAACATGTCATTTAAATATTTATAATTTTTATTTTAATACAAATTCAAATTTAAGTAATATACATTTAACATACAGGAAGATCGGAAAATGGAACACCTTGGAGAGAAACAATTCGTTTATCACTTGTTATTAAATCAAAAATTTTATGCAGGACTAACATTTTAAGAATGTTCTGATTTTTTTTAATTTAAATTTGTACAACCATCCTGCTGATACAAGTGAAAATTTGCCTTGGTGGATGTGCACAAACAAATGAAACAGTTTCGGTGCTAATTGCCACTAAAATAAGGGCTCCTTGTCCCATTTCCGGGAACAGTCCCTGAAATAATGAGATTTATGACCCGAACTGAACAATTTGTAGATAAAATCTGCATATTGAAGCTTATATGGATTAAATTAAACTGTTTTAATTAAGTTAATTTTAAATGGAGAAGAGTCAGAAGTTGACATAGTTGAGACTATATCCGATAACACAAATATAAAAAAGTAATTACATTTTGATTTGAGAGAAATAAAAGCGATCGCCACAGTACATGTACTTAAAAGTTTCATGAAAATAAGTATTATGAATTACGATTTAATAATTTATATATTTAGAACGATATACAGTGACTGCCAACAATTTGTTTTTTTACTAAAACGGCCGTTGGTCATTGACTTCTTCGTGTGAATCATAAATAGTATAATTGATTGCGTTGGTGCAGGAATCGGTAATGTGCAGAAACCTTATGTTGAGAAAAAAAAACGTTTTTAAAGGCAACATGCAATTTGATATATTTTCTTTTTACGAACATATATGTAAATAAATTTACCTTCAATGCATATAGAAGTTTATTAAAGCAAATGATGCGACGTATTTTAAATAGTAATAATCCATCTCTTTATTTGAACCGAATTGGCGTTTAGCCGGTTATGGTACCCAATGCCTTCAACTGTTTTTAAGATCTAAAGCAACCTAAAGATGGTAAAGCAGTTACTAATGGGAGAAACACTTTTATATCAAAATAAAAGCTACGATATTCTATTAAGATGTATTTTAAGAATTATAAATATTTGGTTGTGACTAATACATCGTCTGAAAGAATATCACGAGTCCATCAAAGAAAACAATTTTATTACATATCCAGTACTGCATTATCTAAAAACAAAATGATACAGTCCATTACGTCAAAAATAAAGGACGGTTTAAAATGATTAAAATTTTAGTATAAATTCCCGCGCTAAGTGATCACAGATCATGTAGTGTGTTCTTTCTTATGAATGGTGTGTGTTGTGCATGCTTAGTATAACGGCCTTGTCGTCAGTTTTGAGTCAGCAGCTACACCATTACTCATCCATAGTCATTGTTCAAGGGCCGTTGAACGGAGCTCCTGTGCCTGTGACTCATTTCAGATATCCCGTATGCTCTTTACAACCGGGCTCTCGGCCTAAAATACCCTAAACCTCCACTCTATTGTTCATAATCACTACCATATTGCAAACACTTCACCAATTGGCCCTTACTATAAAATGCTTTATTAGTCATCGGCTATTACGAAATTCAATTGAAATGCATTTTATCAGCCCTTATCCTTATGAATGAAGGAAGTATGACAGATCGGGTTGAATCACATTATTTTCTCCGAATTACTAGATGCGTTAGAACATCTAGTTTATTTTAAAAACGGTTCTGACATATACATATAAGCTGAAAATTAATTTATTAATATCTTTTTTTAAACTGCTAAAAATAATATCAGGAAACGAAATGAGGTTATTTTCGGTAGGTACCTTGTCTGTTGGTGGATACGTAATTCTCGTTTGACGGAGATAACCTGAAGCTGACATCACTAATAATAATTCTTTATATGGCTCCCTATATGTAAATATATGCTTGTGACAAACAACGTTGATTAATTTTTCTTAGAAAAATGTGATATATTCAGAAGGTATATTATCGGTTATATCTCCGCATACTACAAGGACAAAGGTATGGATTTTATTTTTAATGTTTGAGATAAATACTGGCTTAATGTCAATAAGCTAATAATAAACAAATATGGTTTATGACTGCGTAAAATAATATAAATTTAATATACAGGCTGTCTACTATAAGACGGCCACTTCGCTTAATATGCGCTGTCGACCAAAAAGTGTTTAAGTATCATATTTTTCCTAAAACCAAAAAAGTGCTAAAATTTCAATCGCCCTGCGGCCGTAGGAAATAATTACCTTTTATAATTTGTGGTGTAAAATGACAAATACTAACTGATACAACACTTACAACAGAGAAGGCAAAGATAAAATAAATAATTTATAACTAAAAAATTGACAAACGGGTCTCGGAGTCATGAAAAGAATAGAAATATACCTTTCTATGGCTGCTGCTATAGCAGATAATTGTTTTGTCAAATTAAAGTAAATTTTTTGCGTAAAAATTATTAGAAATGTTGAAAAAAATATATCACATTTATGTATGTAGTCTCAAAGTACAAATTGACAATGAGGGCCTCAGAAATAATAAAAATATACCTCATATTTATATTAAAATAAATTAAATAGCGGCACATTCTGTTTTTTTTTTTATTCATAGAGTATTTTTGATTTTGGTATAAATAAAAAGACATTTTTTTGTATTGTTTTTATGTAAACTTTATGGTGTCATGTATGTCATGATGATATTAATATTTCCGTACTACAAAGTGAAACCTGACATGTTGTTTTAAATAATAATTATTAAAGTCAACCTCTTAACCAATGTCAAGAACTTCAGAAGCTTAAAATTTAAAATTAAAAGATTTCATTACACCTTGAGCACAAAACATAGAATAAATAATGAAAATGTGAATTATCGCGAACATGGATGAATTAGGCTAAAAACAAACGAAAATGGAAAATTGGCCATAATAACATAAATATAACTTGACAGAACACGCAAATCAATTGGACAAAAATAAATTTAGAAAAATATTTTCCTCATGTCAGTAATACCGTATAATAGCAATGAATTTTCCAAGAATTACAGCGAATGTCATTTTTGGATTATTTCAAGTACTGTAAGTTGCTCATAGTAACTTCGACGACTTCACTGTCTCTAATAAATAAGCTTTTACATTTTTTGACGTTTTGTGTGAAGATTATTCAATTAACTCAACAATTTGATTTGTTAATTTCAATAAATAAAAATCTCATTCATCAAATTTTGTTTTTTCGGAGCCTCCTCTGACTCTTCAGGCTCTTTTGGCTTTCAAGAAACAAACAAAACAAACCTATGCAGTTTCCATGCAACACGCTTCTTTCAGAATTATGGGTTAATTTTAATGCACTTATGTGGTATTATACCCGAACATTCAGCAGAGATTAAAATATCAAGCCGTCCATCCAAACTTTCCGTTTTATAGCTAGGAGGCCTCTCTTGCCGACAAAAAAAAAATGAATTTAACCCTGCAACACGTGACCCGACTAACGGCAGTATATCCTTCCAACTCAGCCATGCGTTGTTATTGAACGTGAATTAAATTAATTAATTAAACACCACGGGTAATACAACCCCCTGTATCCCTGAAGGTACCTCAAGGTATGTACCTTGTGTGGTAGAGGGCTACACATTTAGAGACAATGGACACACACCAATGTCCGAGTATGGTAGGATTAATTTCTGGTTTAGAAAAAATCCTAGCTCCTCGACTGGGGATTGAACCCAGGACTACAGGGTGAGAGGCAAATGTCCTTACCACTCGACCACGAACCCACGGATGCAAAATTCAATATCAAGGGATTTTAAAAATTTTGACAATATTCTGAAGAGGCAGAAAAATGGGCAGGTTTGCTCTTATCCTTATTCCATGAGATCAAAAATTGTTTTGACATTTCTGACATTAATTTGCTCCCGATGACGTACATAAAATCAAATTTATTCTGATTGTTATAGGTTTACCATTTTCCTTTTACTAAAAAATAAATGTTGTAGGTGAACTAATAAAATGTTGTAAATTGCATAAGTGGGTGTTATCTTATCTATTTTTGTGTGCAAAGGAAAAACTAATCTAATGATTCAGCCTTGTTCGAGAAAAGAATCTATTCAGCGTTATCAACAATATGGCTTGTCAAATATGTATGTATAGTATTAGTCATAGGGGACCATTTATCTAATACATTTAGGGTAGACAAGGGATATCTTTGTGGGTGATTTATCCAATAAATATGACCTAATCAACTGGTGTAATAGTGTTGACATTTGCCCTACCCTTATCATTACTACCGTTTACACGATATTAAAAGAATAAAAAAACGAGTTAAAAAAAAACAGGTTTCAAAAAATTTTTATCAACATGTGATTTACCATTTGTAGTTGTTTTTTAATTTCCCGTTTATAGTTTAAATGTAATTATCAGTATCACACCAGTTGTTATCATAGAAAACTGTAGTATTGGCATATCCAAAGTGTTTGAAAATATAGATATGCGGTCAGCGACAGTGGTAGAAAAAAAGATACATTTATCAATTTCCTTGAATAACAACCTTGACGTAAATATTGTTTAAGTTTTAAATGAATTGTTTGTAGTACTATGTGCAACATTTCGAAAAAACTACACGCCCAATTGTGCTGATTGGTATTTGTTTTTATTATGCAGTAAAACAATGAAAATAATAACACATAGGGTCAATAGTCACAAGATAGGTCAGCAGATTAATTAATTAAATTAGTTAATTCTAAGGTTATACGTGCAGGTTACTCAACCATAAAAAATCCGCGGCATTTTATGAGTCACGTCATGAGAGTGCAAGTATTTATTTATTTTTTTCTAAAATCGTTTTACACATATAGTTTCTTACAAGGTGTTTGAAAATGATTTAACTGAAATAGATCTAATATGTGTAATAAAATAATCATATATAAAACACTTTGGAATCAGTCAGTATCTGTTAGTACGTAAGGTAATCATAGATATGAGTCAGATTAGTTGCGTAATAAGTTCAATTACGGATCATTAATCAATTTAAACGCTTTGTAAATACACCAAATAACAATCAAATGGCAATAACACTACAAGACAAATCTTAGAACCTGTCAGATTGATATGCATTTCAGCTTGTAAATTTTAAAGGAGGCTATTATAACATGTAATTTTAAAATAAACCAAAGCATCAGGATACAGATTTAGTTTAAGTATGAGTCATAGTTTCCCTCTCTGTTTTCCTGTGGCTCCTTACAGCTGCTAAACGGCAATATTCGTCATCTGGGTCATAATTTTACAACATTCTATCTTCAACCCCATTTGGATTATTTTTAGAAGACTACTACCGATTATATACCGCGTTACTCCCACTTTCCAATTTACATTTACGTCATCCCTAGCCTATGCAAGCAACTATACACTTTATGTCTACTGCGGAATATTGTCGGTTGTATAGTCAAAATCAATTGCATAATCGATCGTTTGTTTCATTGTAGGACAAACCGCTTATGTCCAGTCCTACAATTAGTTATGGTAGAATGAAAACAAATAATTTGTATGTAGGCCGCAGTTAAATTGATCATTTCACGTAGCATGAACGATATAATGTACAGGGTGACGCAAATTAGACGATCGATACTGCTCACTACACAGAAATACTGATATTACATTCTAGAGATCATCTTGCCAGAACAAATGTCAAACGTTAATTGGACGATGTTAAACAGAATCGAACCGAACAACTTTGTGTACAAATCAAGAAATATCCCCTCAAATAGATGATATTTTACACAAGTTGTTGGCTGTTAAGGTAGAAATTATTTCTTCAATAAAAAACAGAAAAACTTATTTCCATTGAAGAAATAATGCCCTCAAATATTTTGCTTCACTAAAATTACAATATTTAAACTACAATATTAACTTTTTGTAAGGAAAATGTTCACTAGGTGTAGATTATATTGCAAATCAATTGAAAAATAAAATTTTATTTACGGTATATTCCATTTACATTCATTAAAATCAATTTGTTTTTATTTTTATGGCTTGGTTCCTTTCTACTTAATGCCGTCCAATTTAGATCACTTATCGTTTTTGAGGTACAGGTCAAAAATGGCGTCAAGATTTTAGGAAATTTTATGTAGGTACTTTTTTTATGTACATAGTTTGCTTTTAAAAAATATCGTATGTAATTTGCCCTATGCACCAAAAATTTGAATTGTAATTATATTATATTGCATATTTCCAAATTTTTCAAAAATATGTAATTAATTATAAACTTTATAAATGATAAGAATTCCGACAGTTACAGAGTTATTTTAGTGAGTAGATACTTAGATCAAAATCAGTTATTGGTTTCTCTTAAAAAAAAAAGTTTTGTTCTCAAAAAAAAAATGGGATTGGAGAAAACTAAAAATCATTCTTCATTTAAGCAATTGGTAAAATAATTTGTAAAAACTGTGTGAACTTGTCTCATATGCAAATCCTGTGTCACTATTTTTCTAATGAGTTTTTCTGTTTGTTATAGAGGAAGCAAGGAAGAGCGGTTCAAGGGTATTAGTTCATTGTCAAGCTGGTGTGTCCCGCAGTGCAACAATAGCGATAGCCTATATAATGAAATACAAACAAATGTCGATGGTTGAGGCTTATAAAAAGGTGAAAGAAGCCCGACCTATCATTTCACCGAATTTAAACTTTATGGGACAACTATTAGAATTAGAACAAAGTTTACGTAGTGATAGTAGTAGTAATAACAATCACCAGTGTCGTTGGAGTCAACAGTCTACAGATGAAGTGACGCAGGGTTGTAGTGTATAATTTGGGACAGAACCAGTGAAAGTTTATTTCACATAGACAGTTAGTCATCAGCTCGCCATAGAGTTCCATTCTAGTCGTATCTATTGGAAAATGGCTGTGTACCATTAAAGATATTTCACATTAAAATATACGTATGCAGATTTTGTCAAATCTTTTTACAGCAGCTTAACCAGTCGGTTTATAATCTGTTAGTAAAAAAAATGTTCTCTTTGTGCTGCGTCCATCTTTTTTTTGGCAGCCAGTGTATATTGTTTATTGTATATTATTTATTACGTATAAATGTAATTTTACTTGTAAGAAATATTTTTTTAGGTTTTCCTGGTATGATCCGGATATTTATCGGTATATAAAAATGCCATATTTAATGTTTGTTCAATTAGTTTTTATTAGTGTTTTTAGTTTTTTGTGCAGAATTTTTATTTGTTGTTTAAATATGGTTAATATAATTTCTCCTTTCATATAGATAGGGAAATAAAACTTTGTATTCAGAGTTTCATTATACTTGTGATTTTTAATAGTTTCTTAGTTACATTATAAGTGCAGGTACAAAAAGGTGCATAAAAAAATAGTGTTGCAAACATACCAGTAATTTGACTACACTAATTTTTATCTAGTACCTTTAAATATAGATAAAGTGACTTATCACATTAAAAAAACATGTGCCTTCACGTTTACTTGTAAACTATTTATAGAGTTCAGACTGTAAAAAAATTAAAGCCTTGTATGTCAAGGCTTCAATTTGTAAATACATAAATGTTATTAAAAATGATTTTTATTTTCCTCGGTCTATGATTACATTTACATTAATGTTAAAATCCATGAAAACAAAAACAGGAGGTATTTCTCTTGTGGAATGAAAAAGCTTTTCACCCTATATCTCCATTAAGCCTGATTTTTAGTATCTAAATGTTTTGCTTTGGCAACATCCTTACCTACAAATTCTGTGTTACAATCTTTGAATGCCTTATCATCAAACGAGATTTCAGCAATTTCACCAGTGACTTCAGGTGAAGCAATGATTTAGCCAAAAAAAATATAAATTATTTCAATTACTCAGCATTGAAGCAACATTACACTTAATGAGTATAATTAATACTCTATAAGAGTACTAGTTTCAAAGGATAATTGCAATACATTTTTTTTTAGATGAATTTGCCTAAATGGCCATTGATGATGCTGTCTTTAGCACATCTTATTCTCTTCACATGATCAAAGTAAGTATCTTCCGGCCTTTTACTATTACGAATAAGCAAACTAGTCACTGGACAGTTTTTTACTAAAAACAACAAAATCTTGTCACATGAGCAACAGAAATGTGATTAGATTCACCATGTTGTGTATAACTTCGTGGTCAAGTGGTAAGGGTTCAATCCCCGGTCAAGAATCCAGGATTTCTTCTAAACCAGAAAAAATCCTAGCATATTCAAACATTCGGTGTGTGTCCATTGTCTCTAAATGTGTGTCGCCCTCTCCCGCACAAAGTAAAGTTTATTTCAAAATTATTTGTAACATAAAAAACGTCTGCTTCTTTGATCCCTTTACCACCGTCAAAGAAGCTGACGTTTTTATGTTGCATACAAGTGAAATAAACTTTACCTTGAGGTACCTTCAGGGATACAGTGTTATATAACTTGCGATGTTTAAAAAAATTAAAAAATATCTAACGAGATTCACACACATTCATTAAGTATTCTATCCACTTACAACCAAGTAGGTAACAGAGATAAGGCTAAAAATTTATTTAGAAATATAAATAATTTGTTAACCCCAAATCAGACCTCTACACCTAAAATTGTAGTAGCAAAGATTATATAATCTTTGGTGGTAGGTATTGGTATATAAAAATACGTATTTAAAACACATCATACCTAAATTATTTTTTTTAAATATCATTTTTGTTTTCAAAATTGATTTTCACTCAAATTTTTAGTACAATCACAAATAATAACCAAGGGAAAGGGTAAAAATGTCTTCCTAAAACCA